TTCATTTGCAAGGACCGCCCCTTACTGCTGAAGCCCCGCCCCCACCTCCAAGGCCCACCTCCTACTGCTGAGGCCCCGCCCCCACCTCCAAGGCCCGCCTCCTCACGGCTGAGGCCCCGCTCCCACTTCCAAGGACCGCTCCCTTACTGCTGAAGCCCCGCCCTCACCTCCAAGGACCGCCTCCTTACTGCTGAAGCCCCGCCCTCACCTCCAAGGACCGCCTCCTTACTGCTGAAGCCCCGCCCTCACCCGAGGCCAGCCCAGCGGGCCCTGCCCAGCACCCCTGCCCTGGTCCCCAACTCCTCTCCGGCCTGCTCTAGCCACCCTGGTCTCCTGTCCAGGAGCTGCTCCCTCCTACCCCTTTCCTTTGCCTGGTGTCAGCCAGGGCAGGGCGGCTCCCCCAGGCCTAGCTGACTCCCCACTCATTGTTTAGCCCCCTTAAATGTCACCTCCGCAGGGAAATCTTCTCTGACCCCCAACCAAGGTAACACCCCTGTTAGATGCTCTCAGCACTCTGTACGGTTCCTTCAGAGCAAGTTTCTTGGTTTGAAATGAAACGCGCGCGCAACGACTTCGGTAACATCTACCTCCCCCACCGGGCCGTGGGCTGGGGCGGGTCTGGCCCGTTTCCGGTGTTCCCGGCACAAGGGGCAGTCAGACGGGGGCGAGCACTCCGTGTTTGCTGGATAAAGGACAATGAACGTCGCCAGACGGGGCCCAGGTGAGAGCGGGGCAGTCGGGGGTGGGGTGGAGGCGGGCAGCGGAGGGTGAGCCAGAGGCCCCCGGGGAGGCGGCCTGGCCCCGACCCGCCGCTGCCCACCCCGCCGGCTCCTGGGGAGGGGCCCGGACACGTCCAGGAGCCACCCACCTGGAGCTGGTAAGGTTTCCCCGCTCGGATCAGCTGGGAGACGAGGAAGTTGGTGTGGAAAAAGTGCACGTTCTCATCCAGGAAGCCGTGCAGGATGAGCAGGCGGTTGGGCCTGGAAGACAAGGTGGGGGTGAGGGTCTGAGGTGGGACCCTCCTCTCCCCGGGGGGCCGAGTCCCTCCCCAGCCCCAGCACAGGGAGGACAGAAGCAGCAGCTCAGCAACAGGCAGTGGCAGATGGGAAAGCCTGGGGACAACTGGCGCTCCCCGAGGCCCCTTTGCTTCCTTCCAGGCAAGGAGCGGAGGGGTGTGTGCGGGGCTGTGCGCAGGACGCCCTGAGCTACTGGGAAGCTTCTAGAGCAGTGCTGTCCCGTGGCACTCTGGGAGGATGGAATGTTCTAGACCTGTCCTGCCCCACGCCGTCTCCACCATCATCACCACGTGTGGCTACTGAGCACTTGAAATGTGACAACAGTAGCCAAGAGACTTTGTTTTTTCAGTTTTGATTTTTAAAAATAATTTCTTGAGGTGAAGTTCACGTAACCTAAAACTAACTCATTTTAAAGCGAACAGTTCAGGGGCATTTGGTGCATCCACAATGTTGCGCAACCATCACCTCAATCTAGTTCCAGAACATTCCATCGCTCCAAAGCAAAACCCCGTGCCCATCAGCAGTCACTCCCCATCCCCAGCAACCACCAATCTGGTCTGTCTCGATGCATTTACTAATTCAGTGAATGTGAATGAATGTAAATTTGAATTTCAGTGGCTATGGCGGCTGCTGGCTCTAGGATAGCACAGGTCTAGAGCAGTGGGTTTCAAGCTTGGCTGCACGCTGGCACCGCCGGCTGACCCAGGCTGCACCCCAGACCAGACTGACAGCCTCGCTGGGAGAGGGGCCCAGGTGGGGTCGGCCTGTGACGAAAGCCCGAGAACACCATCATCAAGGTGTGGACCTGGGGCGGAGGTTCACCAGCAGAGCCGCACCAGGAAGCACCAACATCGTCTTCTTTCAATCAGACTCAGAAACCAATGCCAAAACTGTGACATGGGACATCAGAGCTGGTCCCACAGACCCGGATGGTACAACCATGTGGACCCGTGGTCCGAACCACAGAGTGTCAAAGCCTGCAAGACCGAGGCCGTTCAGGTTCAAGACTGATGGACGGGCTCACGGTGCGCTGCGGGCCTGGGGGTGAGGGAAGCCCGTGTGTGCAAAGTGGCACGATTTTAGATCCTTCCTTCCATCTTTCTGGAAGGACAGCACCCCGGATGCCGCTTCAGCGCGGAGCGGTGAGGAGGGAGGGTGGCAGGAGGGGATGCGAGGCGCAGGCAGACAGGTAGGAGTGAAGCCACAGGAGCGCAGCAGGAGGCGGAGGGCGCAGCCGCCCAGCTTCACGGGGCAGCCTGGGGGCCTCAGAGCCCAGACGGCCGGGGTGGCCGGGGCCTTACTCATTGGGCAGCTTCTCCACGTGCAGGGCCACGGAACCCGCCTCGTAGCCGAGCTGGTTGTTCTCCGGGACGTCCATGTAGCGTTCCGTGTACCCTGTGTCATAGGCCATCCAGACTGTGACCGGGGCGCCCGCGATGGCCACCTGAGGGCCACAGGGGATGGACAGGCGGAGAGAGAGAGAGAGAGAGAGGAGAAGAGAGAGACACACACACAGGTCAGGACCTGGGAGCCCACGCTCGGCCGGCCGTCCCGGGGCCTCCCCAGGAGGACGTGAGGAGCGGGCATGCACACGGGGCTGGCGGGGGAGGGGCCCTCAGACCGTGTGTCCCCCGTGGACCGTGCGCTGTCGAGGGAGGGCGGGATCGGCCCCTCCCTGGTCCCACTGCCTTCCTGCCTCCTCCTCCTCATCGCCGCCCGCGGTGCCCTGACAGTGCCGCCGGCCTGGGGGCCCCTCCCCCGACGCTCTTCACACCATGCCCCACCTCTGCCCATCCGAGGCCGGGGTCCCGGGCTCAGCCTCCCACAGAGAGCTGCTGGCGGGGTTTTGTACAGCCGGATGCCATCCTGGGGTCAGCAGTGGCGGGCAATGAGGAGGGGGGCTCGGCCCCGTGGGGCTGCTGCGGGGAGAAACAGCCACGTGGCAAGGCCCCTGCCGAGATGCCTCCCGGGGGGCGGGCTCCGAGGGGCACGGGCGGGCGCCGGCAGACAGGAGGGAGAGGCGGGGCGGGACCCACCTTGAACACCTGTGGCTTGTGGATCAGCCCCATGAGCGAGAGGAAGCCTCCGTAGGACCAGCCGTGGATGGCGACCCGGCTCAGGTCGATGAAGCCGTACTTCTCAGCCACAAACCTCAAGCCCTCCACCTGGTCCTCGATCTCCACCTGGCCCTGGGGGACGAGGCCGGGCACCTCTGAGTCGCCTCCTCCCGGGCGTGTGCCCTGCTGTCCCACCCCTGTCCCTTGCAGGGAGCCCTCTCCCTCTTGGATCAAAAGCAGCTCTCTGGAAGCCACCTCTCCCTCCAGGCCCTGTTCACACCCTCCCTGCCTGCTCTCCAGGGTGGCAGTCAGACACAAGCCCAGCACCAACCTTGCTCTGCCACCACCTGTGAGTGACTCTGAGAAAGTCACGTCCTCTCTCTGGGCCTCAGTTTCCTCATCCCCAAAATGATGATGTTAACGTGAACAGGACCCATTTTACAGTGGGCAGGAAGAGGAAACGAGATGGAGAGTGTCTTGCACTCAGAGACCTGGCACGTGTTAAGGCTCAATGAACGGCTGGCATCTTCACTGTCACTGTCACCACTACGACTGTCACTGTCATCTACATTCTCATCATCACCACCATCACCATCCTCATCCTCACCCCTATCATCACCATCACCCTCACCACCATGCTCATCATCCTTACCATGCCCATTATCTCCATCTTCATTACCACCACCACCACCACCACAACCATCATTACCACCATCATCATCTCCATCACCACCACCATCACCACCATCATCACCACCATCATCACCACCACCACCACCACCATCACCATCTCCATCATCACCACCATCACCTCCATCATCATCACCATCATCACCATCATCACCACCATCACCACCATCATCACCACCATCACCACCATCATCATCACCATCATCACCATCATCACCACCATCATCACCACCATCATCACCACCACCACCATCATCACCATCATCACCACCACCACCATCATCACCACCATCATCACCATCACCACCACCATCACCATCACCACCACCATCAACATCACCATCATCATCACCACCATCATCAACATCACCATCATCATCACCATCACCATCATCATCACCATCACCATCACCATCATCATCACCACCACCATCAACATCACTATCATCATCATCATCACCACCATCATCATCAACATCACCATCATCATCACCATCATCATCAACATCATCACCACCATCACCACCACCGTCATCACCATCACCACCATCACCATCAGCACTACTTCTTCAGCCACCTCCCTGTCTGGCCCAGCCCTTGGGACTTCCTGCCGCCCGGGGCCTGTACTCAGTGTCTGGCTGTATCTGGGTCTCAGGCACCAGGGGGATGTGTGTACACCTTTGTCCCCATGGGGCGCAGCTCAGAGCTGAGCAGCAGAGCAGACATTCCCCTTGGTTCCAAAAGGCCCCCCCCCTCTGCCTGGCATCCCAGCCAGCACTGTCCTTGAGGGAGGGCCCCCAGGGCCGCCCCAAACCCCAGCTCTCCCTTCACCACACAGGAAGGGCCCAGACAGACTGGGAAGAGCAGTTACCATTTGGTTTTTCAGGGCCCCTTCGAACCGAAGCCCTCGCTGACAGGAGCCCCTGCCATCTATGACGACCACAGCGTAGCCCAGGGATGCCAGCGTGTTGAGCCGCAAATACTTGATTCCTTTGAAGGAGTTATTCACCAGCTGCACCTGTGGGGCGAGGCGAGGACATGCGGCTTTGCTCGGATGGTAAGAAATCCAGCCCCAGACGCCAGCAGGATGGGGGGCAGGGGGCTTATGGCCTAAGTGGGGCGCCTGCACTGTATCGTGAAGCCTACAGATGGCCCGAAGGGCTGTGGCCGCAGGGGCGTGCACGGGTCAGACGGGGCCCACTCTGCAGCAGGCCCTGTGCTTGGGACATGCTGCAGAGAGGAAGGCCCCACCAGGCCCCCGTCACAGCCCCAGGCCCTCCCTGGAATCTCTCCACTTCTTCAGCCGCGTTCTGCCTCTTTTCTCCCCTCGGCTGTCTCCATCAGACACCACACCCCATGGGGGAGGCAGGCAGGCTGGTGGCGGCGGGCGGCTGTGTCTTCTGAGTGACTTAACCCAGTCCTCACACTGGCACTATTAATATTCAGGGTCGGATCTTCTCTGTCATGGGGTGTCCTGGGTACCGTAGGGCACTGACAGCATCCCTGGCCCCCACCCACTAGATGCCAGGGGCACCCCCACCATAGTTGTGACAACCACAGGTGTCCCCAGGGTGCAGAATCCCCCGGGTGAGAACGGCTGCCTTAGATGGACCCGCCTGCCAGGCTGCCTGCTGGCCCCTTCTCAGGGCACTGGGCCCAGGGCCACGCCCACCTCCATCCCCAAGCAGGTGACCAGGGTGAGGGCGGGTCACTGCTGGGCAGGTGGCCCAGACAGACACAGGGGGATCGAGGGCATTTCCCAGAGGGACCAGGGGGCATCAACAGGTGGAGGGAGAAGGGGAGGGGGAAGCTGTGGGGGAGGGTGGGGTGTGCAGAGACCCAGAGGCAGGAGTGAGGGGCCCCCGGAGCCCTGCGCGGTCAGTGGGCATGGGGCGGGGCACTGGGAGGTGCCAGGGCCCCCCGAGTCCTGGCGTGGAGGGAGGGGGGTCTGGGGAGCAGGGCCAGCACCCACCTGGGGGCCTCCATACACGAAGAGGACGGTGGGATGCTTCTTCCCTGGCTGCACGGCGTGCGGCTTGTAGATCATGCCGTAGAGACGCACGTCGGTCCGCGTGTGGAAATGGAAGATTTCCGGGGGCACGTAATCCGGAGGGCAGCCTGCGGGGACAGAGGGGCTGTGGCTACTGGGGAGCCCGCACGTCTGGCTGACACCCACAGTCCACTGCCCGGCCCCCAGCTGCACCCCACCTATGCTTCCCGACGGTTTACATCAAAATATGAGGACCAGAAATGACTCTGTGCCCTGTGAGCGTGCGCGTGCCAGGCCGCCGTCTGGCCAGAACCTTCTGCAGCAGGCCCGAGGCTGGCTGGTCCCCTACGGAGCTGACAACACCTCTGGAATGTGATTCACAGCCTATTTTGTGGTCTGCTTCTCTCTGATTTTTATGATTACCTTTATTGTTGCAGAGCAACACTAGTTTGCAATCGTGGTGAGGAGAAATCTTTCTCAAGATAAGTGCATTTAGGTGAATAGGGTGAGTGGATGGAAAGTTAATTAAGTGGTAATGTAAGTCAGGGATCGGCAAGTGCTCTGTGTAAAGGGCCAGAGAGGACATATTTTTGGCTTTAGGAGACATTCTGTGTCCTTTGCCTCAGCTTCAGGATTTCAGCGCTAAAGGGGCCACAGACGACGCATAAATGATCAGCTGCAGCCAGACCTGGCCCGCGGGCTGTAGTCTGCCAACTCCTCACAGAGGTGGTCACGGCGAGGCTGGGAGTGTGGGAAACGAGCCCTAGTCCCCCTGCCTGCAAACCCAGGGCTGGGGACCGGAGGATTCCTCATCTGAAAAACCAGGGCAGAGTTCCTGCTCCGTCACGCCCCGTGGTGACGCGAGGAGAGTCACAGCTGAGCTATGGGATGGAGGAGGCCTTTTATCTACTGAGGTTCCGGGGGGTGAGGATATAACAAGATGCTTTGTAGCCCATAAAACACCTCACACACGCCCGAGATTCTTATATCCTAGAATGTTCTGGAAATCTGGCAAGTGGCAGGTCTGGGGTCAGGGAAGGGATCCTTTTAGTGAGGGATTCCCGTGCCCTAGGCGCTGTACAGTGTGTTTGGTTTTCATCCTACAGACTGCTTTGTACCATCCTGTACATAAGGAACATTTAAGGGAGACGAACTGACTTGTCTACACTTCTGCAGCCAGAATTGGAACCCGGGGTCCCCTGATCAGGGCCCTGGCCGTCCTCCAGGCTCATGGCCAAATGACAAGCTCCTGTTCCCCAAGGCTCCACTCGAGACTGACCCCCCGGTCCCTTCCACAGACAAAGGCTTCTGAGCGTCTGCTCTGCCCTTGGAGACGGCTGCCCGTGAGGACGAGGATGTCCTGTACGGGAGCCCTCCGTCTGGGAGGCCGGCTCCTGAACTGAGTCTGTGCTCTGTGCCGTCACCTATTAATTGCGGCACAGAAATGAGACCGTCCCGGGTGGCAGGGCCCGCAGGACAGTCAGGGCCAGTGGTTATGTTCGATGCCAAGTTCTTGGGGCTCCCGGGAGGGGCCAGGGGCGCCGAGCAGGCAGGGCTCTGGGCCGCTCGCTGCCTCACGCCCGCCAGGACGGCCTGTCACCAGCGTCATTTAATGGGGCCACGTCCCACATTACAGCTGGGCCAGCCGAGGCTCCCGGGGGGAAGGACGCAGTCAGGGGCCCCGGGGTTACTCACTGGCTGCCTCCATCATGCTGGCCCAGAACCGGGGCTGCTTGTGCAGAGGGTCGTCGTCGGGGCCGCTCAGCTTGTAGACGTGCACGCAGGGCGGTGTGCCCACACTGCTGTAGTGGCTGACGAACATGTCGAAGTTCTGCGGGCGGACGGGGAGGCTGAGCACCACATGATGCCTGTGCGCACCCCCCTCTCACCCCCTGGGCTTCGGCTCCCTGGGCCCCCGTCGCCCACCAACCTTCACTGACCATTTACCGACTTTGTGCTGCGTGTTCCCTCATTTAAACCTCAAAACCCCACCCACGCAGGGCGGGTGCTACTACCATCACCCCATTTTGCAGATAAGCAAACTGAGGCCGGGAGGAATCTGCCCCTGGCCAGGGGCCCCCGAGGGGTAACTGATGGTCCCAGGGGTCAGACCCAGATCTGTCCGATGCCAGAGCCCACTCATCTTGCTGGTTCTACAGCCAAATGCTTGCCCTGGACCCGGAGTGGCCCTGTGCACATCTGCTGCCTGGCGTTCTAGAATGTTCCAAGAGGCTAAGCGTGGGTGCCGGGACAGCGCCGTCAGGAGCATCGGGGAAGTGCCCACCTGGCTCATGGAGCAGCTGTGGGAGAAGCCGGGCGTGGTGAGGCGCACGATCTCGCCGGCCGACTCGTAGCTGACCACGTAGAGGTGGTGCTCCAGGGGCGTGTCCTTCGTGCCTTGGAAGTACACGAGCTTCGTCTCCTCGTTGACCCAGATCTGCGGGGGCACAGACTCCTCGTGACTCGGCCCCAGGCTTCCCGTGCCTCCCTTCCCATGGCAGCTGGGGGAGGAGGGCTGATGCCCAGTGGAGGGGTCCCGGGCCCCTCCTGCTGCCCCCACAGGGAGGGCGCAGTGCCTGGGACAGAGGCTGAGGGAGGGGCCGTCCTGGGCCCTCGGCACACTAGCCCCGCCACGCTGGCCCTGAGCGGGGTCAGCCTATCCCTCTGACCCAGGTGCTCAGTGTTCAGAAGTGGTAACGCCCTGCCCTACCCGTTTCCTGGGAGGATCCCCATCAGAGCCCAGTGTGGTTCTCAGGTGATGCCCCCAGGAAGACGGGATTGGTTTCACATTTATGGCACAACTCTCTGTGGCCACATAAAACTACTTTCAAAAACCCTACAACTCCCGTAAACAGTGATGCTATACATATCCTACGGAGACACGTGAAAACAAGAAAGATCGGCAGTGACTTCCCACCATGGTCACTTCCCGGGGGGAAGAGGCTACGGGGGTCCAGGGTGGGGATCGAGGGGGATTCTGACTTTAGTCTTATCTAGCACTTTCGATTTTTTTTTTTTGCTGAAGAAGATCAGCCCTGAGCTAACATCCGATGCCAATCCTCCTCTTTTTGCTGAGGAAGACTGGCCCTGGGCTAACATCCGTGCCCATCCTCCTCTACGTTATACATGGGATGCCTGCCAAGGCATGACTTGATAAGCTGGGCATAGGTACGCGCCCAGGATCCGAACCTGCAAACCCCGGGCCACCGAAGCAGAGCGTGCGAACTTCCCCACTATGCAACCGGGCCAGCCCCATGGAACTATTTCATTTTTACAACAAATGCTGAAGTGTTTGTTGTTACCGTACTTTTAAAATAAATGCACATTTTCTAGAAATAAAGGATGTCGTTGGAAGACCCCAAACCACATCATTATGTGCCAGTTCTGTCACGAGGACCCTGTGAGAAGTTACACAAATGGGGAAGGAGGCGCTCTCCAGCTCGCTAGGCTTTGTGTCCCAGCGAGGCCGTGGGGCCTTCGGGGGGCTGAGGGGACACCGAAATGGGCCAGGCGGGTCAGAACCGCCCTCTGCCAGCACAGGTCCCCTGGAAGGTAGACGGTGTGCACGGCCACCAGTTGGGACGGGAGAGGCCACTCTTGCCCTTTTTAATTTTTAAAATGCTGTTGCTTTTTTGTTTCACTTCTGGATAAAGAGCCGTGCCAACCGTAACAGTCACAACGACAGAGAAAGGTTTTAACCCCGCGTGTGTCAGACGCTACGTGTGCCGAGGGCTTCAAGTTACTTTAAGCCAGGGTCCTCACCCAGAGCAATTCTGCCCCCCAGGGCACGTGTGGCAACCTCTGGAGTCATTTGTGGTCGTCACACCTGGGGTGGGGGTGGGGTGCTCCTGGCATCGAGTGGGTGGGGGCCGGGGTGCTGCTCAATACCCCACAGTGCCCAGGATGGCCCCACACAGAGAATGATCTAGACCCAAATATCACCAGTGCCCAAGGGAGAGACCCTGCTGTAGAGATGAGGAGGTGAGAGCTACCCGATGGTCCCAGTGGTCCCATTCTACAGATGAGGAAACTGAGTGTCAGTACCCAGAGGGCGAGGGGCAGAGCTGGGCTGTGAGCCGGGGGTGCCTCCAGCAGGACTGGCTGCAACCTCGGCAGAGCCGCTGAGGGTAGGTGACTGCCACTTAACCTTTGGGTGCCCAAACTCTGACCTCGCCTCACACACAAAGATGTGCATGTGAAATCCGACAGAATCAGGACCGGCTGCACAGTTTCACAACTTGACAAGACCTCCCCAACCTCTGGACCATAAGTTTGTCTACATCTCCCCCTAGTCACTTGTACGGCTTCACTGTTTATGTCTAAGTCGCTGGTGCTGGTGTGAGGTAGGGATCCAGGAAGTCTGATTACAGCTCCCTCCGCGAAATCTGGAATTCTGTAGACCTGAGCCCCGTAAAGACACTCTAGGTAGAAGCAAAGGCTTGCCATGTGTTTACGATGGTGCGTTTGGGGGAGTGGAAGGTACATCTCTCGTCCCTGTCGCTGCATTTTTTGTTCCAGAATCCCCCAGGAGCAGGCGTGGGGGTGGGCTCTGGTTGGAAGCCGCGGGACAATGCCACAGTAGGCACCATGAATGTCCCACAAACTGCTGTCCTGGGGACAGGTGGTTTCATGGAGCGGAAGGAGGCTAACAGGATGCTCCAGGCGGCACTGAGCATGCGCCAGGGCCCTCCCACCAGGATCCAACAGCGGGTGCTCGGAACCGCCCGTGTCCTGGACCCAGGGTGTCTCCGGCTGGTTGGAGCCACAGCCCCTGTGGCCCTGCGCGTGGTGGAGCAGTGGAGGGAGCAGAGGAGGAGGGAAGAGGGGCTGAGACGGAAGAGAGGAGGCACAGGCACGAGGGATCTGGAAGGGGGCTGGAGTGTGCATGCGTGTGTGTGTCCGCATGTGTGTGTGTGCACGTGTGCATTTACTACTGTGCATGGAGACTCTAGTACCTTGGAGCCGTGCCTTGCCAAAACCTCCCAGTCACCGCTGGTCAGCGCGATCTCCTCCTTGATGGGGCATTTAAATTCATCTGGAAGTAAGCAAAGGAAAAGAGGTGAAGGGGGATCCGGGAAGCTGTGACGGGGATCCCAAGGCACCCAGGCCAAACTCCACCAAAGCAAACTTGCCATGGAGCCCACGCGTCCCAGGCCAGGTGGTCGATGGGAGGGCGGTGGGCTGAGCCTGAGACAGGGCAGACGCACCACACTGGCCTAGGGGGCTGTGGGCAGAGTTCCCATCACGTTGACGGTGGGCCCAGCATTACCCAAAACAAACCAGGAATCTGCATTTTCATCAGAAGTGCCCAATTCTAGAACCCTGTGCGGGTCAAACCGCCACCCTCCAGGCCCTGGACTGGTGACCTCTTAGGACAGGTTGGGATTTTGGAGAACCAGATCTTGATTAAAACGTGTTAGAAACTTATTGAGACAGCTCACGAGCGATGGCTAATGCTTCTTTTGTATTCTTTCGGGTCTAAAGCCAACTTTGGTAAACGTTTATCCAGGGAGAGACAAGTGCCCTGTGCACAAATACTAGAGCGTGGGCAGACAGAAGCTTCTGGTGCAGAGACAGGGGCCGAGCGACGGTCCCATCATGATCTGGGAGGGAGGGACGCTCCTCCCGTGTCCCTCCCTCATGTGGAGGCTGCACACGCCTGGCTTCCTGCTCATTCAAACCTTTGCTGATGCCCGTTCTCTTGTCAGGCCCACGGAGGAGTGTGCGGGGTGGGAGCTGAACTGTACACGGCCCCTCTTGGGCGCGCCCCCACCGATTCACCAACTGCCGGCCTACAGCCTCTGCATCCTAGGCCGGGCGTGCCCCCCAATTCTCCTGCTGCGCCCCCGTGAGGCCTGACGATGGCTCAGCCTGGCTGGCCCCCTGCCTCGCTGCACCTCCTCTGAGCTCTCCACTCCCTCTCGCCCGAGTCTCTTCGGCCCTCGGGATTCAAGCCCACGCTCCTCACGGCCGAGACGGTCCCGCCGACACCTGCCCGGCCGTCTCTTGTAGGACCCTCTGCTGCGAAAGCCACCTTGTGGGAAGACCCCTCCTCCTGCGAGCGCCAGCACGGTCCCCGGCCCTCACCCCGTCCCCCAGGCTCCTGACTTCCCTCCCACTTCCCGGGCGCCCTCTCAGGAACTCATTCTTCCTGCTCCCAAGTGACTGGGGTCTCGCCTTCTCATCTGTTCAACTGCCATCGAGCAGGTGGGAGCCACGTGACAAGAAGAGCGAGCTGGGGATGCAGGCAGGCCCCCTGGCAGGGCGGATGGGAAACCGGGTGGGCCCACCGCGGAGGCAGGAGGCCCCCCGAGGGGCACCTGTTGCAAGTTCCACCCGACAACCACCAGGCAAAATCCCGCTCTCAGCCTACCCATTTCCAGAGGCGGAAACGAGGATTTTCCAAGTGCAACCTCCCAGCGTTGGGCGGTGATGGGTAAGCCAGACAGACAGACAAACCGAAAAGCAAAACGCTGACAATTCAAAGTATGTCCCAAATCAAATCTACCCAGGGCAGCTCACTCGCGGCCATGACCCTGGTCCTGTCACCTCTCCTCACCTTTCAGGCTATGCTCCACAAAACAACCACAGGAATCATTTAAACCGAAGTAAGATCGATGGCCGACGCCCAAGTCCTCCCATGGCCCACACGGCCCTGCACAGCCTACCCCGTCCCCTCCCTGCCCTCCCTCCTCCCTCTCTCCCCCTCGCTCCCTCTGCTCCAGCCACACGGCCTCCTCCCTGTTCCTCCAACACACCAGGCCTGATCCTGCCCCAGGACCTTTGCACAGGCTGCTCCCGCAGCCTGGAGGGCTCTGTGTGGCTGCCTCTGCCACCTCGTCCAGGTCTCTGCTCCATGGCAGATTATCCAGAGATGTCCTCCTGATCTCCCATTCTAAAAAGAAAGCCCCTCCCTCTCTACCCTCTCATCCTGCTGCATTTCCCTCCGCCATGATCATCCCTCCCGACACAGCCTCTTTCCTTGTTCGGGGAATACTGCCTGTCTCCTACACTAGAGCAGGGTTTTCCTTTCCTCTTTCTACAACAATATTCCTAGCACCAAGAGCAGGGGTTGGCACTTTTCCCATAAAGGGCCACACAGCAAATATTTTCAGCTTTGTGAGACATACAGTTCCTATCACACCACTCAACTCTGCTGTTGTGGCATGAAAACAGCCACAGATGATACGTAAATGAATGGGCGTGACCACATGCCAATAAAACTTTATTTATAAAACTAGGTGCTGGGCCGGATTTGACCTGCGGGCTATAGTTTTCCGACCCCTGGTGTGCGAAGGGCCTGGCATCCAGAGTGTGAATGATGTGTGGGAAGGGCTGGTGTCTTACTCATCTGTGCCCCTCCCTCGTGGGGCGTGCCCGGTCATGGTCACAGGAAGGAGTCAGGGAACAAACAGTGCACTGAGTCACAGATGGATGACTCGATGGGCAAGGCCTGAGTCAGGCTTCACTCACCTTCCCCGGGGCTGAAGGGCTCGGTCCAGTCGTAGCCTCTGGGCTTGAGAATGGCGGTGACCTTGTACAGGTGGCAGAAGCCGGTTTTGCATTCGTTGGCGCGGATGAAGCAGAGCTCGTCATCTCCCTCTGATTGGGGGAAGGGATAGAAGATGTCATGAACCTGTCCGGGCAGAAGAGAGAAGACTCGTCAGAAGGTGGGGGGCAAGAACTTGGGGCCCTGCCCCGCCCCACCGAGGAGGGTGAGGCTCTGGCAGCTGGCCGGGCTCAGGTGGAGGGCAAACCTCGCGGGCTCTCTCCCCTCTTGCCCGAGCTCGCCTCTCCACACGGGGGCCCACTCAGCCTGCACACCCCGTGCCCCCGCCCCTGCCCTTACGTTGATCCACACGTCGGTGACCTCCTCGTACACCACGTACGGCTGCACATCCCTGGACACGGCTTTGGCGAAGGCGGCCCGTTGTTCCTCGTTCTCGGTGGTGGGGATGAACAGGGCCGGGGGGAGGAGGACCAGCTGGAGCCGCTGCTGGGGCCGGTCCAGGAACATGGCCCAGGCACTGAGAGGGCAGGAGAGAGGAGCCGGGCCTCAGGGGCCGTCGGAGGCAAGCCAGGTGACGGACGGCCCCCTTTGCCGACTTCACCTACAGTGACAAGTAACCCCGCAGCACACAAAGCTGTCCTGGCTGGCAGTGCACTCGGGGGAGACAGGAGGGACACCAGAACTCCATCATCTGATTGTTCTGGAAACGTCCCACGTCATTAAGTCTTAGAACAGCGTCTTGCAAACTTCACGATTTCTGCCAGATCCTCAGCCCACGCGTACTATCCTTTCGTTTCATTTCATATTTTGCTCAATACAGAAAATGTTTTTGTTTTTGTTTTGCTGAGGAAAATTTGCCCTGAGCTAGCAACCGTTGCTAATCCTCCTCTTTTTTCATTTTTTACGTGGGCCACCGCCACAGCATGGCCACTAATAGACCAGTGGTGTAGGTCCGTGCCCAGGATCCGAACCCAGGCTGCCAAAGCAGAGCGTGCCAAACTTAACCACTATGCCACCAGGGCCGGCCCGAAACGGACAATTTTTTAACTTAAATGTATTATTACTATTTTTTTTGTGTGAGGAAGATCAGCCCTGAGCTAACATCCGTGCTAATCCTCTTCTTTTTGCTGAGGAAGACCGGCTCTGAGCTAACATCTATTGCCAATCCTCCTCCTTTTTCCCCCCAAAGCCCCAGTAGATAGTTGGATGTCACAGCTACACATCCTTCTAGTTGCTGCATGTGGGACGTGGCCTCAGCATGGCCGGAGAAGCGGTGCGTCAGTGCGCGCCCGGGATCCGAACCCGGGCCGCCAGCAGCGGAGCGCGCGCACTTAACCGCTAACCCACGGGGCCGGCCCTTAAATGTATTTTAAATGGAGACCTGTCGGTACTACAAGTGGAAAGCAGCACCTTGACAGAAACACGAAAGCCAGATCAGAGCAGAACCTTGTGCAGATATGAGAGCCGGGCGTGAGCCTGTGGCCCGCCCACGGCGCTGAGCTGAGCCTGGCTGTCTCCGTGGGGAAGGGGCCTGGCGAGCGTCTGGAGAGCAGGAAGCACCTTTTTCTGTAAAGGGCTCAGCGAGTAAATATCTCGGCTTCGTGGGCCACACAGTTTTGTTCGAAACTACCCAACGCTGCAGTCGTAGCACAAAAACGGCCACGGATGAGCCGGAAACAAACGAGTCTGCTGTGCACGGCCGCGTGCCAACGAAACTGTACTACTCCTGGATGCTGAAATGCGGACTTCACATCATGTTCATGTGTGACAGAATATCATCCTTCTTTGGGTTTTTCCTCTCAATCATTTAAAACCATAAAAGCCGTTTTTGGCTCCTAGGCCACACAAAGATTGGCAGCGTGCTGGACTTGGCTCGCGGGCGGTGGCTGGGGGCCCTGATTTAGAGATTTCTGTCCTTCATGTGGGCAGCAGGGGCCCCCCTCTATCTGGTGACGCTGTGTTTCTCACCACCCAGGGTCCCTGGGCCCCGAGTGTGCGTTGCCCGGATCACGCCCGACGGGGACACTCACTATTTTCCGTCCCGGGTCCAGCCGGCCCTGGCGATGTACTCCACTTTTGGGAAGAGCGTGCTGAAGGGCTGCACCAGCTCCTTCTCCTGGGTCGAGACGATCTAAAGGAAAGAAAGCAGACTTGGTCACACTCCGGCCTGACCACACACTGCCCAGGCCACTGTCGGGCCCACTGTGTTCCCCCAAGTCCGGATGTTGAAGTCATGACTCCCACTACCTCAGAGAGCGCCCTTATTTGGAGACAGGGCGGTTGTAGGTGAAATCAGCTAAGATGAGGTTGTACTGGAGTAGGGTGGGCCCCATCCAGGAGGACTGGTGTCCCCGGTGTCCTTATAAAAGGGGGAGATGTGCACAGGGACACCACCCAGGGAGAGAATGTCTTGTGACGAGACACAAGGAGACGGCCATCTACAAGCCAAGGAGAGAGGCCTGGAACAGATCCTTCCCTCACAGCCTCAGAAGGAACCAGCCCGGCCAGCACCTTGATTTCTGACTTCCCGCCTCCAGAACTGGGAGAGAATAACCTTCTCTAGTTTACACCGCCCAGTCTGTGGTACTCTGTTAGGGCAGCCTGTCAGCTGGAAACTGAGAGTTCTGGTCTGGGCTGTCAAGGCAGAGCCAAGTGGCCTTGGGCAAGACACAGCCTCTGGACGCCGCAGCTTCCTCGAGCCTAAATGGGGCTGGCACAGCATCTGCCCAGAGGGACTGAGGGGAGAAAGGCAGGCAGGGCCTCAGCACGCCCCATACCCGTGTGGGCCACCACTCCCACATCCCCTGGCTGCCTGTTCAGTGGGCATGCCTCACGCCCACCACAGGACCCTGCTCGCTGGACAGGGCCAGGAACCATGCCAAACAGCTGGGGGAGCTCAGCAAGGCCGCTTACGGCAGATCCCTGTCAAAGCTGCCAGAATGTTCTGGTCATGAGTGAAGAAGGGGTTTGGTCAGGGCCTAATCATGCCCCAAACAAAAACCAACCCCTGAATTAGAGAAATAAGTGTATTTCACCTCATGCTTTGCTTTTTTCTGGAACATTACACAGAAAGACGTTTTGGCAAAACTACACACAGGTTCCTTGGCTTGTCTGAGTCTCTAACCTCTGATGAGTGGGGTGTTTCCCTTTGACACCTGGCGCCCCCACGGCCAGCTCCCTTCTCGGCCACTGCCCTCCTGGCTGTGAGGGCCTGAGCAACGACCCCCTGGGTGATGAAGACCCTTGTCCTCGATGCTGACCAGGTGAGAGAGAGAAAGATCTGGACACTGATGGGTCTGGTGAAGCAATAGGTGAGGATCTGCCCAAAATGCTGGGCAGGGGAACAGCCCAGTTTGAGGTCCGGGTCCCTCAGACGACTGCCCCATGGAGCTCTCTCTTCTGGAAGCTCGAAGAGAGGTCTGGACCTTCACGTGACCTCTGTGGGGAAGCCCGAGAGGGCCCCACGGCCCCGATTCCTGCGGGACCTCTGCTCGAAGCTGCCCACTGGCCTCGCCCCCTTGTGCCTCACGACCATCTGGAGGCAGGTGAGGGTGGACCCCCCACTCTTCACTTGACAGGCTGAGGCTCAGAGCGACGGGGGGCAGCAGGGAAGCCAGCACTCCAGGCAGTATGTTTTCGGGTTCAGCTGGCCAAGGGAGCGCCTGCCCCCGGGAAGGGGGCGAGCGGCCTGCTGGTGCCGCCCAACCGTCCACCTGTCTCCCCACACACCCCGGCCCCTCCTCATCTGGAAGCTTCCCCAGCCACTCTCACCTTGCCCTGACTATCCGTCTGAAACTCAGCCAGTTTCAAGGCGATCTTGGGATTCTTGCTGCCTGCAGAAATGAGAGCAAGGTGAGTGGGCCGGTGTCGCACACGTGGGTCAAAAGCAGGTGTGTGGGGCAGAGGCCATGGGGTGACGCCCACCACAAGGTGACACAACGGGCGTGGGGGGTGGGGGAGGAAGGGCGTCCAAAGGTCTCTCCGCGGACACGTCACCCTCTCTGGTCCAGGCACAAAGTCCCTCGGGCAGGACCTTACTCCTGACTCAGACGTGACACCGTCTTTCTTTACGGTTTAAGGACATAACCCAGACCCTGCACTGGTGGGGGGCCGGGGAGGGACACAGACAGGAGGAAGACGCTGTCCCGGCCCTTGGAGCGCTTGAAAGCTGGCTGTGAAGACGGCACACATCGTAACAAAACCACTAAGGACGCAGGAAGGCGGCACAAACCACGAGACATGGCGGGGCCCCAGCCTTGGGAAGGCAGGCAGCACACTTCCCGGAGGTGGGGGTCGGTTCAGGCTCCAGTAATTTCTACCACGTCTCAGCTCTGGCCCTCGCACCCCAGGCCAGGTGACGTCTCTGAGTCTCACTTTCTCATCGTGAAACGGGGGAAAAGACTGACTTTCCTCATTGCCCCGGCACTGGAGACGTCCTCTGGGAAGGCTCCACCGGGCACAGCACGTGGCAGTGCTCACTGTGTTAGCAAAAGTGATTCTTCTATGTGCTTCCACAGAAGTCACAAGCGGGAGGCCTGAAGACCTGCATGAGTATTTTTGTGGCTTACTATTTCCAGATAATTTCAGCGACGTTTAAGAACTGGGAGCTATCTCAGATGAGCCTGGATTTCTAGCTTCTCCTGAGAAATGGGGCAGACTTGAGTCTGTATTCTCACAAGGCCATGGATAGGGCCCGCGGGCCCCCACTGCCTCTCTCCGGCCCCGAGGCAGAAGACTGGCCACCACGGATGGTGGCGGGGCCCTGCTGTTGCTCCTGTGCCCAGCCTGCCTCCCCGGGGCCTGTGGGCCCGGCCTGGCTGGTGTACGCCTTGCTCTATGAGACCTCAGGCCACAGCCCGGCTGCCCTCACCTGCCCTGGGCACTCACCTGTCCTGGGGTATCGGTAGGAGTCCGTCTTCCTTTCTTCTAGTGCAGGGGAGGGCACGTGGATGATCTCCACCTCGGACTCATCCACCTCCTCGTAGAGGATTCGCAGCGTCTTGTGGCCTTCTGAACCTGGGAGGGGGCAGGGAGGCTGCTGAGGGGGCCGGGGTCCCCGCCGCGACCCCACCCCCTCCTGCACGCAGGGGCACTCCGCTCTGCCACGCTGAGCCAGACAAGAGCGTGACCCTGGGGGTGGAACCCCAGCTCTGCTGTTCACCACACCTGCAGCCAGTCACCTCTCCTCTCATGTCCTCAGTTTCCTCACTGTACAATTGGCACGAGAACTCAGCTGTCCCCAGCACAAAACGGCAAGGACGCCATCTGGGATGTTCCGGGCTGAACCGTCCCTGCTGGATTTCTATGCTGAATCCCTAACCCCAGGAGCTCAGAACGTGGCTGCATTTGGAGATGAGTCTTTACAGAGGTGATTAGGGTAACATGAGGTCACTAGGGTGGGCCCTGATCCAACATGACTGGTGTCCTTCTAAGAAGAGGAGACGAGGACACAGAGGGGAGACCACGTGAGGACAGAGGGAGGAGACGGCCATCTTCACACCAAGGAGAGAGGCTTCCGAGGGAACCAGCCCTGCCCACACGTTCATCTTGGACTTCCAGCCTCCAGCACTGGGAGGAAAGAAACGCCTGTTGTTTAAGCCCCTGGTCTGTGGGACTTCGTTACGGCCACCCGAGCAAACTCACCCACGGGCATGGCTCTAGAAGGGTTACACTAAACATCGCTATGAGAAATCAGCGAATCACCGGGTGGCGACAGCCTGGAAAGGAGCGTGGTGACTGGCGATGCTGACGTCACAGGAACGTCACACGGCCGTTCCTTCCTGAACAAGCCCTTTCCTTCCTCGGCCGCTGAGAAGGGTCCCGACCTGCTGTTTCCTGTGCCCTCACCTAAGATGCACTACAGACTGACCAGCGACATTCCCAGAACCATCCCCACCGCAGACCTCCGCCAAGCCCCAGCTGCCTGCAGGCTGATGTCACCACACCTGCTTTAGGGGGAGCGCTAAGGCCCCAGGGGCGGAGTGGCTGGCCTGAGGCCACGTGGTATGCGGCTGGCCGCATCGCGGCTCAAACTCAAGTCCAGGGCATGGATCATCCTGGGGCTCTGAGTCTGTCGGCCAGGAAGGACCCTCTTGGGTTGGCACGGTCCGTGCAAGTAGCTCCCGAGGCGGCCGCAGGGCGCCGCACCACGGGGGATACGCACCTCTCTGGCCGCGGCACTTGGGGGGCTGTATTAAAGGGGTTTTTGAGCCGCTACAGAACACCAGAGTTAGCAACTCTGACGTCATCTAGGCCAGTGGATCTCACCCGGGGCCATTCTGTGGCCCCTGGGGACACGTGGCGATGCCGGGAGCCGTCTGTGGTTGTCACGACTCAGGTGACACATGGAGACGGTGGGGCCAGGGCGCTGCTCAGGGCCCCACAGGGCCCAGGACGGCCCTCAGAGAATGGAGGCCCCCCTCGACGTCCACAGGGCCGAGGGGGGAGACCTTCACCTTAGCCAACAATCTCATCTTACAGACCGAGAAATCGAAGCGTGGGATGGTCCCTTCTGTCAGGCCCGCAGGAAGCCACAGGCTGAAGGACCCAACCCCGGACCCTGATTCCTGATCTGGGGTCCAATCCCAGAGACACAGAGCACTGGGGCACACCCGGCATTGCGGTGGTTCAAGACCCGGCCCAGACAGCAGGAGAGGTCAGGGAGCTCCCCCAGAAAGCTTGCTCTTGTTGCCATGTGCTCTTCTGAAACACACAGAAGTCAGGGCTCAGGCGCTGGAGAAACCACTTAGCAGCAGAGGCCTGGTCCACGCCCAAGCCCCGGGGCCCGGGAAACCTTGGCCCGGGGCCTATAAACAAGGAGACCTGGGTCCCACGGTTGCTCCTGCGGCAGAGGGTCTGACACTACCAGCGCATCCCAGGAAACAACTCCCAGACGCTTAGAAGACGATTCTGCTTGACTGAATACGGGAGCGGGGAATAAGATGCTCCCACCCCATGCACAGGGCAGAGAAACAGATACGGAAGGACCCGCTGATCTGGCTTCTCTCATAAATCCTTGGCAAATTCCATCAAGATTTCAGATGCCTGTAGCTTCAATTCAGCTTTATTACAGCTGGGAATTTTCTCTACAGCAGGATTTTTTTTTTTTTTTTTTTTTTTAAGATTTTATTTATTCAGTTTTTTCCCCCCAAAGCCCCAGTAGATAGTTGTATGTCATAGGTTCACATCCTTCTAGTTGCTGTACGTGGGACTCGGCCTCACGTTGGACGGAGAAGTGGTGCCTCGGGGCGCGCCCGGGATCCGAACCCGGGCCGCCAGCATCAGAGCGCGCGCACTCAACCGCTAAGCCACGGAGCCGGCCCATACAGCAGGATTTTTGATATTCAGCACTGTGGACGTGGGGCAGGACCATTCTCCCGGCTGGGGCCGGCCCGTGGACCGTGGGGTGCTGATTTTGCACTGCGCTTCCAGAACCGTGAGAAAGAAACTGTTGTCTGGTGTTTATAAGCCACCGGGTTTGAGAAATTCTGTTAGAGCAGCCCAAACCGACTGAGATGCTGGTACTGACAGAAAGGTTGCTGAGGTTCATTTTAAAAGAATAGAGCAAAGAGCAGAAAGGCAACTGTGATTCTGTTAATCAAAGGAGTGTGTGCAAACGCGTTTCATGAAATGGAAAGGGACCTACCCTCCCAGGAGGCTGTGGGGCACCACCAGTAGCCGGTGAAGCGGTCGAATTCTTCCTGGATGACGAAGGTCGCTACGCCTGCGGATCTGGGGTCGTCGAGGACATTGGATAAGCCTGGAGCGGGAGAGCCGGGGGAGAGGTGAGGAGTCGAGTGCAGAGCAGGGCTCCTTCCCCAGGCTGCTGACTTTTGGGGCCAGAGCGTTCTCTCTGGGGGGTGACCCTAGGCACTGTGGGGGGTGGAGCAGCATCCCTGGCCCCCACCCACTCGATGCCAGAAGCTCCCCCACCCAGATGTCTCTGGACACGGCCAGTGTCAGAGCTGCCCCGGCTGAGCAGCTCAGGTTTAGAGAGAGGGCACCAGGGCTGTGGGGCAGGACGGGGCAGGCAGGAGTCCATGATCCGAGACCAGGACTGGCAGAGCCTGCTGACACCTGCAGAAGGTCAGGTCACTTCTGGCGAGCAGGGGTGTGCGGGAAAACCCGGGGAGCAGGTGAGATCTGAGTTTGCCCTGATGGAGTCAGACAGGAGAGCAGAAGAGGGGAACAAGGGCCTGGAGGGGGAGGCCGGGCCACTGTGGCCGGGCCAATCCTCGCAGAGAAAAACCACACACCAGGTGGCTGGCCTTCCTGCGAGCCAGTGGAAGGCCGAGGGCGGGTGACCAGTGAGAGCAGGGTCCAGGAAGGTGCTAGGCAGTGGGGGGAGTGCAGCGGGGGTGGCGACCTTTCTAGAAGCTGGGCCTGCGGCTATGACGGCCGTCCACAGGAAGCGCTGGCCCAGCCCAGCCAACAGACTACACCCAGGGGTGCAGGCCCCCGCCCACCCCGTCAAGCCCGCAGGGGCCCGGGGCAGCCTCACCTCTGTGGCAGAAAGTCAGCCGCCGCTCCTCGCCCGTCTCCAGGTTGGCGACCCACAGGTCGCTGTTGTTGACGAAGGAAAAGAAGGCGGGGTCGGCTCGGCAGATCTTGGGGTCCATCCGGGGCCCCGCACACTGGGTCTTGATCTCCAGCGGCTTCATGGGGGACACCTGGGAACAGAGAGCCGGCTCAGGGGGGCAGGACCCCGCGCGCCCGCCCCCGCCAGGGCCCGGGGCTCACCATGAAGCCGTTCTTGCCCCCGTCGCGGCAGTGGAAGAGGCTGTTGCTGGCCTGGAAGAGGAACAGGCCGCTCTCGCTGTGGAAGTCGTAGGACGTGATGCCGAAGACGCCCAGGCGCTTCCGCTCCCGCAGCAGCTCCTCCTCCCGCGAGTAGACCCCATGGTGGGGCGTGGCCTGGGGACACACGGGGACGGGGACGGGCCGGCTCATCAGCTGGAGGCCCTGGCACCCTGGGCACAGACCCTTGGCTGTGCGTTCCCAGGAGAAACCTGACCACCCGACCTCGGTCCACGCCAGAGAACTTTCTGACAAGCAGAGCCGTGCTGGAAGGCAGACCGGGTGGCGGAGCCCCGACCCGGTGGCCAGAGGGGGCCGTGCCTGGAGGCCGCGAGGGTGCCCAGCGGGCCTGGGGTAGCAGTTTCTGGGGCTCGCCCGGAGCTCCTCCCCTCAGCCCCGCCTCGGGACTCGCCTGCGCCCACAATTCCCTACGGACTCTCTCCAAGGCAGACGGGGCCCAGAGGGACACCGCCACAGCGTGCGTCCCTGGTCCCAACGCCAATCCTACAGACCCTCCCTCCTGCCCACTCACAACCCACTTCTGAGGACATTCAGTCTGAAGCCCCCAATGCCACACGTCCCACTTTCTGCATGAGCGGGGGGTAGGGCAAATTCAGGACCACCCGACGACCCAGACGTGACCCTGGGCGGGGAGGGGGACCGGGCAGGTAAACTACTGTGGACAGCTCGCAGCCCTCCCGAGGAGCATTCTGAAGACAACATAGAGATTTGGAGGAATGGTAATACATTTATAAAGACAGAATCCAAAACAAAATCACCCCCACGCTGCGACGAAAGCTACATCCATGTGAGCTGGTTGGCGTGAGGACTGTAAGGGACAGCCACCGTGTTGGCATGGAGAAATTCAGAGTGTCACGTCATCCCCCTCCCCCCTACTCCAGTATTATTATTATTTCTCTTACAACCAAAAATAAACCAAAGCAAAAGGCACTCGCGGCCCTCACTCGCCATCTTCTCCCCAGAAGAGAGCCACTGTGGATGACGTTATTGGCTATGTCTCCATAAAAGGGCCTCGTCCAGGCTAACTCCAGGTCTTTGGTGAGGTGTTTCAAAGGAAGAGATGCTTCTGATAGTTCTCATCAGAAGCCTACGCGCTGGGGCTGGAGCATAGACTGGGGAGGAGGGCGGGCCACGCCGCGCAGGGGTCCAGAGCTGGACGCTCTTCTCTGCGGGGTCTGCGTTAAGCAGGTGGCGGGCTGGGGCGCCTCGGGGGTTAGGGCACAGAACTCGCGTGCGGCCGGGTGACGCGGCCTTGTGCCCGCCGCCCTCGCGCAGCGGCGGGGCAGGGCCCGGCCCGTGCGGCTCACCTGGAAATGATCGAGCATCTGCTTCCAAGACAGCAGCAGCAAGGCCTCCTTCCGGATCTTCCTGGGGATCTCCGAGTAGAGGAGGGAGTTCTCTCGGCTGCCATAGGGCATCCCTAGGGGGGAAGAGAGGAAAACAGAATGGGGGACTTTGCTCAGGACGGGGACAGGGTCTCGGGCGGGGTTTCGGGCCACGACTCTGGCTCCCGTGGCTGAGCCCAGCCGGTTCCTTCAGCTTTGACATCACCCTGCCAGGCGGGTGGCCGCCCCTCCCCAGAGAAGCTACGGACCCGCGTTCTCGTGCGTCAGCAGCCGTGGCAGAGTCTCCCACCTCTGCGATGCCTGCACCGAGCATCTTGGCTTAAAGGATGGAAGAAAGAGCCCAGGGAGAAGAGAAGAAATGCGTGACACCCTGCTCTCAACAGGTAAGGCTCCGGCCCTGAGCTTCCTTCTCTTCAGGCTTTTGCGAAGGCCAAGAATTAATCCAGGATTAGGGCAAATGCCTGAAAAGGAACTGGGAAATGGGTACCTAACCCAGCGTTTCTTCCCTGGGCACTGCAGACATGGGCCCGGGACACTTCTGTGGGGATGTCCTGGGGGCTGTGGGGGCTTGAGCAGCACCCCTGGCCCCCACTCACTCGATGCAGGAGCACCCCCAGTGTGACAGCCACAGATGTCCCCAGCCAAGGCCTAGTGTCCCGACTGGGAACCCCTGATTAATCTAACCTTCCCTCTAAGAGGACAGTAGTTGCCTCCTAAGGAGCCCATGGATTCAATGAGGTAAGAAATAGGAAGCCCTCGGCACGACGCCCGCGCTGCCACTCAAGGGGCATCAGCAGCTCTCACAGTGAGCTGCAGGTTTCCACATTCTTACATCTCTGAGGCTGAGATGCATCTTACTGTCGCAAGTGCTGTCGTGTTCTTAGTGCCAAATAAAATCAGGGCGTATCTTCCCGCTGGTAGTGTCTCCAACTCGATGGATGACGGTACTATTGTTAATAAAGTCAGCGGCAGAAGCAGAAAACTCTCTCCCATAAGCTGCCGTCTGTGCAACGAGCCAGGGGACCGGTCAGTGCGCCCCCAGGGTGCCAGCCTCCAGCAGCAGGCGGGGTGTCCTGCGTCGGCCCAGGAACGTGCCGTGGGCTAACAACAGGTCACAGAGAGCACGGGGCCCTCTCTGAGCCCCCGAGTCCTGAGTTTCTCCAGGAGGAAGACTCGACTGGGACCTTGCCCCCTTTTGGGACTCCTCGTACGGGCTCTCCCTTCTAAGAGTGACCGGGGGACCCCGAGCTCGGTGCCTGCGGAGCCAGAGCGGATAACTATCTGTTCTGTTCACAGTTATCTTCACAGGTAGCTCCTCGTTATGACAAGCCACTCAGGTTTTCCACTTAAGTTTGCTTGTGAAGTATAGTTAGTAAAAGAAGAGTGTAATTAAAGAAAAATATTAGCTCAATAAGGTTTCCTTGGAAGACGGATTTAGGAACAATGCAAAATTAATTCAGATGTGCGGGAGGGAACGCTCACAGTTTGATCTCGAAGGACTCTCTAAGCCGCCGCGGTCCGACTCATTCCCAGCTAGAGGCACAGACACGAAACTGCCCCTCCAGGCCGCCCACAGGGCCTTCTTCCTTCTCAAGTTCACACGACAAGTGGGGACGGGAATCACGTGGTGTGTGATTCCACTTCTATGAAACGTCCACAACAGGCAAATCCAGAGACAGGAAAGTGGAATAGTGGTTGCCAGGGGCTGGGAGAAGGGGTGGGGAGTGACTTCTGATGGGGACGGGATTTCTTTTGGGGGGATGGAATGTTCTGGAATTACATCGTGGTGATGGTTGCACAATATATACTAAACAGGAATATACTAAAAACCACTGAGTTGTCCACTTTTAAAGGAGTGAATTTCATGGGATGTGAATTACATCTCAATTTAAAAAAAAGCGTCTGGGGCACTGTGGAAGGCTGGCAGGGAGCAGGTGGCCGTTCTGGATGGAGTGGCGTGTGTTCCGGACAGACCCTGCCCGCGGGGCTCTCTGGGAGAGCCTGGGCTTCCCAAACAGGAAGTTGACAGCGTGGCCTTGCCAAGGACATGGGAGCCATCCCCCCCGCCCCCGGCTGATTAATAAGTCATGACACCACACAGCCCCAGCCAGCACACTCCCTTGATAAGCTGCCCTTGGCACCTGTGACAGTGACAGTCGGCGTGAGAGGCAGAGCCCTGAGATGGCTGACGACAGCCGCTGACTCTGCCCTCGCTGCCTCTGTCCTGCCCTCTCTGACCAGCCCCGCCCCATCTTTGGGGACAGTACCCCCACCCCCGCTGGCGTGGCAGATGGCCCAGGCCTGTGCAAGCGCCGTTTCCACCCCCGTGCGCCGCGGCCTCGGGGACTGGCCTGCAAGGCATGTGACCCTGGATCTGGACACAGGACAGAGGTCTCGCTTTCCCCTCTAAGGGCCTCCCAGAGCGGTCCAGGGCCCTGCACCCCGCTGTGCAACACGAGGCTCATCTGCAGTGGCGGGAAGCCAATCCACACGGGGCAGGAGAGCCGAGACGGGGACGGTTTCCTGACGCTGCTGTCCGAGCCCAGGAACCTGAGCTGCGGCCTCCTGTCTTCCTGGCAGCACAAGCCGGCACATTCCCTTCTCTGCCCCGTCTTGTTTTCATTAGGCTTCATCACGCACACTCAAGAGCCTTCCCCGAGGGGCCGCTGACTGGCTCACATGCCCCAAACGGCAAGCCGGGTGCCGCCGAGGAGGCAGGGGTCCCAGGGAGAGCAGAGGGGACGGGTTGCACGCTTAGAGTGGCAGGCTGGGCCTCACCCCCGGAGGCCCCTTCTGTTCAGCCCACACACGTCTGCTGGCTGCCAGCCTTCGCCCGGGTGCTGGGCTAGCGCAAAGGAGTACTACAAACACTCGGGGACTCCGGGGAGGCCTGCCCCAAGAACTCAGACCTGAAGTGAGGTCAATGGAACCCCCAGGGTTTTGGGTGATGGAGACTGGACCAGCTCCAGGGGGAGCAACATCACCCCGAAAGAGGCAGCCCGGCTCTGGGCTGTTCTAGGAATGTTTTGGGGTCTCTGCCAGGTCCACAGCCCTGGTGGGTCCTAAATGTAATCACGTGTCCTTATAAGGAAGGCAGAGATGGGAGGGATGCGGCCACAAGCCCGGGGCTGCCGGCGGCCCCAGAAGCTGGAAGATGCCGGGACCCGATTCTCCCCAAGAGCCTCCGGAGGGAGCGTGACCCTACCGACACCTGGATTTCGGCCTTCTGGTCTCCAGAACTGTGAGACACTAAATATCGGTTGTTTCAAGCCACCAGGTCACTGGTGACTTGTCACCTACCAACCATAGGGAACTCATAAAAATACCTTGATGGGGCGGCAACCTGAACTTGAGCGAGTGGCCGAAGGCTGTGTTGGGAGAAAGGGCTTGGGAAGTCACGGAGCCACAGGAAAAAAGAGGCAACAGTCACCACAGTCCATAGGTCTTAGCCGCTTTTAGTCCAAGAGCCAGCTCTCCCTTGGCTAAAGGAAACTTGAACACATGAGTCCTATCTCCCCCAGGCTGGGGTTGGCAATCTTTTTCTGTAAAGGGCTAGATAGTGAATATTTTCGGCTTGGTCGGCCACATGACCTCTGCTGCAAACTGAAAGCAGCCGTAGATGGCGCGTAAACAGATACAGGCGTGGCCGGGCGCCAGTAAAACAAGATTTCCAAAAACACATGGCCGTCGCTTGCCGGCCCTGTTCTAGATCGTTCCTCTTTCTAATGCCGTGCTGGCCAAGCCACCACCTGGTTTCCGCGTGTGTCTCTATGAAGAGGGGCTAGCCACCTGGCGCCCATCTCGGGCACTGTCATGGTCGTTAGCACGGGCTCAGCCTCCAGCAGGGACGACCTTCACTCATTTGTTGTGTCATTCACTCCAGTGTGGACTGAGGGCCTGCCCAGGTGCAGGCACGGCCCCAGGGGCTGGGGACACAGACAATGACGTGGAGGTCGAGAGGGCTGAGATTGGGTCACCAATCACGTCACGCCGCTTTCAAAGGAACACACTCCCTCCTGCCCTGTAAGACCCTCGGTAAAGGGGGGCATCATTCATTCGCTCCACAGGTAGTGACTGTCCACCTGTCAGGACGGAGCCAGATCCTGGCCCAGCTGCTGAGGCTGCAGTGAGCATGAGGCCTAAGCCATGCCCTGAAGGCTCCCACAGGGCCCGGCCACTGCTGACAGCGTTGAAGGGCTGCTTACGAGGCACACACCCGGAGGAGGAAGTGAGGAGCAATTAACACGCTTATCCGGGGATCTGGGGCAGGGACAGCAGGTGTGGGGCAGGCTACTCTCTGTTGTCGGCACACGCATTTATGCAATCGTGGTGCCTTTGCTTGAGCCTCAGGATCCTTCTTAACACATCACGCCACAGCGACCGCCTACTGGAGTTGCTTGCCACTCCGCTGCTGGAGGAGTCTTATTGTTCACGAGCCCAGCCCAGGTGGCCGGGCAGCGGCTCAGGGGCGGGCCCAGCTGCCCAGGACTGAAAACAGCCTGAGAACGACGGCACAGACGGGGCGGGACTGCCCTCTGCCCCACTCCCCAGTGTACCTGACCCCCCGGGTAAACTTTTGCCCCCGACCTTCACTGTGAGCAGAAGTCCCCTGTGGGTGGCATGGCCTCCTGGGACAGCTCAGCCAGGGCTGGGCTCATCCTCTGGACCTTCAACTAACAGGACCAGTGACCTCTGGGAACCAGAGGACTTAGTCACAGCTGTCCCAGAGATGCTGGCCCGGTCCAGAGCAGCCCGCTGGGCCCGAGGGAGCGCGGGGGCTTACCCAGGTAGTAGAGGCGATGCGAGTGGGGGCCGGACTCGTCTGTCTTCTGCACAAACTGGAAGTCGTGTGGAGCCTTGTTGATGATGAGGCCCGAGTTCTTGCGGCTGCCATGGATGATGCTCCGGAGCCCGTCCCACGAGTGCTTCTGCACCTGGAAGCGGGAGGCCGGGTCCTCCATCTCCACCGCGTCGCCCCGCTCGGGCGTCGGCGTCCCGCTGGCCATCCTCTCGGCCCCCTCAGAATTCAGCGAGAAGCTGTGAGGAGGAAGGGATATGGGGCGGGAAGACGGTGAGAAGGGGGTGGTACCCGAGTTCCACTTACAAGCTGCCCCCTCCTCAGACGCTCTGGTTCTCTCAGATGAGCCCCACCCCCGTGCAACCTTCCCCAGCCCGCTAAATGTTCCTCGAATTCTCTCACTTCTCTCTGACACCGCAAACCCTTCTAAGATCCAAGCCGTCACCTCTTGGCTGAATGATTGGAACTCCTCCTCAACGCAACTTTGTACATCCATTGCAAATCTGACACCATCACTTACAACCCTTCCCGGGTTTTCCACAGCCCGTAGGGTGAAAACCAGACCTCATCACGGCCTTCAAGTCTCTCTGTTCTCTGACCCCTGCCAGGTTCTGGAACCTCATCCCCTTTCATCACCACGTCCTGGCCAAACTGGCCTTCTCTCGGCTCCTCAAACAAGCCAGACTCCTTCCCACCCCAGGGCCTTTGCACGTGCTTTCCCTCCTGCCTGGAACACTTTTTCGCTCTCTTTGCTCGACAAACTTCCAATCAGATCTCAGCTTAAACATTTGTCAGGCCCTCAGAAACCTTCTACGACCATCCGTATCGAAGCTGGTCTCTCCGCTCATCTTTCCCACACTGTGTGGTGGCCCCCGCCCTCAGAGCATTCATCACAATGGTTATTCATTGATCGCCTGTCTCCCCCATGCCTGTTCCATTCACAGTGGTGTCCCCAGAACCTCACGTGGTCCCTGGCACACAGTGGGCTTTCCACAGACAACCGTGGGATGACTCCCTCTCATTAAAGCCCCTGGGAGACACGCTCGCCCACATGCAGAGGCCTGAGCACAGGGAATTAAACCCCCAACGTCATCCCCTGTGCTGTCAGCTTGCTGTCCAGCAGGGGCAATTCCCATCCCTCCCTGGAGGAGCTCAGAGGAGCAGGCCGACAGCAGTGGGAACCCCAGGTGGGAAGCAGGAGGCGCACCTTTCCCTCGGAGGCCGGCCTGCTCCCTCCTCCCACTCCAGGACAGCTGCGGCCGCGCCACGGCGCCCACCCCTCCGCTCTCCCACTCTCACCGCTGAGTACACTTCTTGACCAGACTGGACTGGCCTGGCAAATATTTGCTTTAGGGAAATCTAAACACGGCCATGGTGACCCGGTTCTGAGGCCAGCCAACACGAGCGAGGCCGGGCTCGCCTTCCTCCGTGGGCGGCAGACGGCTGAAGGCCTCAGTGACTCTGTCCCCTGGGATTAGAGGCTTTGCTGGTGGCAGCCGGTGCTCACTTGTCAGAAGTGGGAGCTGAAGCTACTGCGGCACCCGCGGGCTGGGATGGCACGGGCCGAGGGCTTTAGATACACAAGGTGCACCCCTTTCACACAGGTGCCTTCCCGTTTCTAGAAAGCTTGGCCTCTTGCCCATAGGAGACCCCACTGTAGGAGAAAGGACCCCTGCCTGCTTCGAGAAGCAAGGGAGAGAGAGAGAGCCACGAGAACAGTGCCGATGGCTTCTGGGCGTCCACTGTGAGCCCCCAGTCGGGGCCAGGCCCGGCTGAGCACTCCGGAACCCTGGCGGCCCCAAGTGCTGTTGGCAAGAAGCCCAGACAACCAGGATAGGGGAACTCCTCGAACCGGCCCAACCACCCCCAAAACTCTCCTACCACAATTCAAGCCTCGCCGGCGGCAGAAAAACAGACCGTGACCTCCAGGGCTCCCAGAGGACCCCCGTACTAAGAGCCTGGCAGACACTCAGAAAACCAGGAGGTTTCTTTCTACAGCAAAGAACAACAGAAACAGCCTTGCCTCCGATCGCTGCACAGAGCCCAAGGAGCAAAGAGACGATCCAGGAGAGGAGAAATGAAATGGAACATTGGGAGAAACTTCTAGGAATCTTCTAGATGTGGCCGGGCAGCCTGAGCTCCCGAGAGGCTAAGGCTTGGTGCTACCCCCTGGCGCTCCGCTGCCCCTCGCCTCCCCGGAGGGCGGGCCCCGACGGCAGAGAGGCTGGGACGGAGGAGCCGGTGGACGGGAGGCGAGGCAAGCCCGTGCGGGCCGCTTGGCGCCCAGCAGCACCCTGTGCCAGGCTTCTGGGTGGAGGGTTTACACAGCTGGAGAAATGAAAGCGGATTCCAAGCCACTTAGGCCAGGTCCACCTACGCGTTCCTTCTGCCAATTGGTTGGACGCCGCGCAGCCCGTGACGCCACAGCAAACAGCGCGGGACCTCGCGGTGTGGTCACTGTCAAAGCCCCACGGGAGCCCTGTGACCTCTGTCCGGGCTGGGGCTCCAAGAGCCGGGACCACCGCCCCCCGAGCACCCGCCAGAAACCCACGTGGGAGAAACTGGATTCTCAGCGCTGCCTGCAGGTCTGGGCGAGTTCAGGTGACCAGAGTGATCCACGAGAAGGAAGGGAGACGCAGGCAGGTGGCGGTGAGGGGCAGGCGCTCGTCACACTCCGGAGGGAGGAAAGGCCTCAGCGTGGCCCTCAGGACACTGGCCGTGTCCCCGCAGGTGCAGGTTCCCGGGAGACAGCAGGGCCCCGCTGCCCTACGAGGGCCACCCCCGGCCCTGTCTACACTTACGACCAGCCTCAGAGGCAGCTCGCAGGGCGGCCTGTGCCCCCCAGGGCTTTACACGTGTGAGAGGGGTGACTCGGGTCGCCGTCACTAACAGACACCCGATGCATTCACCCACCAGACATGTGCACCGCCTGCTTCCAGAGCCTGCGTCTGGGGAATGAATCACGGCGCTTAACATCACTCTGGCTTCCAGAACCTTCTCTGATTCCCTTCCTGCCTCTCCGATCGCTCATGCTCGCTGCAGCAGGTGAGCCTAAGCGCGTCAGAGAGCTGATGCCGAGAGAGGTCAGCTCGGCGGAGGACTTCCTCTGGGCTCTGCATCTCGTGCTGGGCCCCAGACGTGGAACTGACCCAGCACCTGGTCTGGCATGGATAATCATGTTTCATCCTCTTCGTAACTGTGCAGGGGGAGTTCTGGGGTCATCCCGCTTGGGGGACTGGAAAGTGGGCTCAGAGGGGTCAAGTGGCCCGCCCAATGTCACCCCACGAGGAAGGGGAGGGGAGCCCAAGGCTGTGGGTCCCAAAGCCCACATCCTAACCAGCAGGCCAGCAGTTCTCACCTGGGGGAGACTCTGCCCCCAGGGGACACTGGGCGACGACGGGGACATTTGTGGTTGTCACGATTGGGGGGTGCTACTGGCATCAAGTGGGTGGAACCCAGGGATGTGGCTCAGCCCCCCACAGTGCATAGGACGCCCCACCCCCTGCAGGGAATGGTCCAGTCTCGATGTCAAACGTGCCCTGGCTCCTAAACCCGGCCCTAGCCCACGCGGCCTCCTCACGCGGAACAGCCAGGACCGTGCCCCGGGGAAACGCAGAAACGGGGGTGGGGGGCGGTGTCTTCCCAGACCTAAGGCTCGGCTGGCAATTCCGTGCTCCCGAGGCCGTGCCCACCTTCTCCGACTCTCTGCGCTCTCGTTGTCCAGACGCAGCCTCTTAGCCTTCCGCATGAACCGCTCGGCTGACCTCAGGAGGGCGGGGGGCCTGCGGGGAGAGACCGCAGAGCTGCAGCCCTGGGCGGCCGGGGAGGGCGAGCGCGCGCCCCCTTCTCCCCGCCCCATTCTGGGGCCGCCCAACGCCCAGGGCGTCCTGACGCAGAGGATAGTTCAGGCCTTGCCCTGAAATCCAAGACGGTGCCCGGCATCCGCCAGAAATCGGGCGGTTCTCCCAAGGCGAGGTCCCTGAGAGGATGGGCGCTTCCAATGACTCCGGGGACGCCACCTGCGGGCACCTGCCAAACACGGAACACTCCCCAACTCCCCGCTGTGGCTGCTCTGACGGCCCTCCCGACCTCACCTTCTCCCTCTGCCCTGGACCACGATCTGCAGCCACACTGGCCTGACTCTCCCCGAAACGCAGGGACTCCTTCCCACCACAGGGCCTTTGCACTTGCCGGTCCCTCTGCCCGGGGCGCCTTTCCTGCTTCCTGTATGACTTGCTCCCTCTTATCCTTCAGGTCCTGACAGCTCCTCTTCAGAGGTGTTCCCGGCACTCAATCCGAAGTTGCTACCTTGTCACCCCCACCTCAGCACCACGTCTTTCTGCACAGCACTCACCCTAGGACAGTGCCTCTCAATGGGGGCGATTCTGCCCCCCAGGGGACACTGGGCCATGTCTGGGACATCTGTGCTTGTCACACCGGGTGTGCTGCTGGCATCAAGTGGGTGGGGCCAGGGATGCTGCTCGACCCACCCCCCCAGCACCCAGGACGGCCCCCCCTCCCAGAGGACTACCCGGCCTGAGCATCCACAGTGCCGAGGGGGAGAAACTCCACACTCGGTATCAAGCAAAAAAAACTGAGTTTGATCCCCGCTCACGGTAGACACCTGAATAAGTTCCTGAGGGTCAGACGGTGGACACCAGGGTGACCCCCAGCATCTGTGAGTCCTTCCTCTCTCTCTCCCACTCAGTTTGTATATTTAAACGTGGGCAGCATCCTGGACCTCAGCAGTCAGATGATAAGGATGCAGAGTTTCTTGGGGGTTAACGGCATCCCCTAACCCAGGGGGTCTCACCCAGGGACCATCTGCCCCCCCAGGGCACATGTTCGGTTGACACGACTGGAAGGCAGCCTGCCCGCATCTGGCTGGTGGAGACCAGGGATGCTGCAGAGCGTCCCACAATACACAGGACGGCCCCAACGCCACTGCAGAGAATGATCCGACCCCAAATACCACCAGGGACGAGGCTGGGGGAGCGAGCCCTCCTCACTGGGCTCTCAGCCCACGGGGGCAGGCCCACCGCCGTCCTGTTCCTGCTCTATCCCTGGGCCCAGGGCCGTGCCTGGCACACAGAAAGCGCTCAACAAACATTTCAGGTTGAGTGAACGAGTCCCTGTTCTCGCTTGAACGCTATCTGACGTCAAAGGGACCCCTGGTTTGGTCGGCAACCACCTTCTTGCCAGCCAGGCCCCAGGATGGGCAGGTGCCCAGAGGCTTAAAAAAAAAGATAGCAGCCCCCGGTCACAGGACAGAGATCACACGGAAGAGGTGAAGCAAAATGTCCCCATAAAGAAGGACTAGCTTCACTCTCAGTCCAGGGGTGAAATCAGTGGGCTCTGCTCTCAGAGAGATACGGGTTCAAATCCCGGCTCTGCCCCTTCTGGGCTGTGTGACCTTGGGGAAGCCACTTAACTTCTCTGTGCCTCCATTTCCCCAGCTATAAAATGGGACTGCAGTAGCTACACTTAGGGCTCCAGTGAGAATTAAATGAGATGACACAGGTAAAGTACCTGACATAACAGAAACTACATGACAGCTGACACCGTCAACTATACAAGTTATTTAAAATCACGTGCGAGAGAGAACTGGATGAAAGTCCCTTTCAGAGCCAGAATCCACCACCATTTGCTGACGGAGCCCCAGGCAGTTGGAGGGGGACACTGGGTGGAAAGAGAAGTCTCCAGCAACAGCACACAAAGCTGCAGCCACTGGCCTGGGTCCCAGCCAACTGTCCCTGAAGGCAGTGACCCCAGGATTGTGGAAAACCACTTCCTGCCAACTCTCCCCCCACCCCAGGCCCAGCAAATGAATCCCATCAGCCCACCCTCCAGCCTTCCCGGCCACCCCATCCCCGGCACAACCAACCTTCTAAAGGGTCCAGAAAGCCTCCATTTCTGCCGCGGGCATGGGACACAGACCTTGACAGAGGAAACGTGTCATTAACGCAGGCGGGTTAAGGGAGGGACTGGCTAACCACTTTCTCTCCTTCCGATCCTGAGTCCTGATTCTCGGGCCTGATTCTCTCTACCTGGGTAATTCCAGCCACACCTGACAGCCCCCGGGGCGCTGTCTGCGTGCCCTGAACCGCAGCTGGGAGGAAAGTCTTCCCACGGGGCCCGAATACCCCGGGACCCAGGCGGGCCACTGCAGGGACTGGGGCCCCCAGTGCACGCCTCCTGGGCTCTTAGAAAGCAGGCAGGGTCTGGCCAAGGAGACAAGCAAGTGACTTCCTCACCGTGGGGGGGCGGGGGGAAGGGGACGGGCCACCTCTGATGGCTCAGCAGCAGCGCGGATGGGGAAGTGTCAAGGCTGGTCTCAGGCTGCATGGGAAGAAG